AATTCAAATAAAACAATTCTATAAATAAAAAAATAACTTTACATGATAATTTAATAAAAATAAATAAAAAGTAGAGCATGTGTTATTTATATATCAGATAAAATAATATATTCATAGTAATAATAAAACAATTCTGTTTATATTTTACTATTTAAACAAATATTTTTCTATATTTTTTAATAATGTTCTGAAATAATTTAATAAAAAATGAAATTGAACAATATTCTGTAAATTCATCAATAAAACGTGTTTCTATAGATAATAACTGAAATTTTTGTAATAAAAAATAAAAATGATGTAAAGTAGGGTGGTGAGGATTTTCTAAATTAATATTTTATAATGAAAATAATTTTTCTGTCAATAATATTTAACATTTGACACAATAATTTAACAAAAACTTTAATTAATTGGATTATTTTAAAAGTTTTTCTCAGTCTTGCGTCATTACGAGGGAACGTTTTCATCACGTTTCATGGAGCTAAACATCAGACATGATGACAGCTGTCGAGTCAACTCGGCGACTGGACTCTAACTCGAGTCTCTCTCCCTGCTTCCGTGCAGATGCGGTACTACCGGGCCAGCGAGGCCGTCATGGCCAAGGCCTCGATGCTCTACAGCCGCTTCAAGAACGCCTTCCTGGTGGGCGAAGGCGAGGAGGTGGTGAGCGCCGCCTTCCTGCGCTCGCTGCTGCAGGAGAAGGAGAAGGAGGAGCAGCAGAGGGTGGAGCGGCTGAGGAGGGACGAGCTGCTGGAGGAGGTGAGGAGGAGGATGGACCAGCTGAAGGAGAGGAAGAAGAGGGACGACGGGGAGCCGGACGACGAGGCGGCAGGTACAGGAAGCAGGAAGTAGTGAAAATACAAATAGTTTAACACAATTATAATAATGTTGCATAGAGTCTTGTTTTCTTATCACAATAATTAAAATAATATATTTTTATATTGATTTTTTTCTTATTACTTTCATCTAAGTAATAATAAATAATAGAATGTAAACTAAATAGAATTTGGTGGCACTTTTATTGCCATAAATTTAATTTTTGTTCTTTTTGTGTCACTGATTTATTTTATTTTTTACAACATATGAACGTGTTTGTTACTTCAGTCATTTTGTTATTGCATTTTTATTATTTTTTAGATTATAATAAAATCAGGACTGAACCTGTTTTTTTTTCATTAAATTAATTTTATTTATTTAAAAATTAAATATATAAAATGTTTTACCAAACTACTGAAAAATATTTCACACATATTATTTATTTATTAATTCTACAACAAATATTAAAGGTTCATTATTAATAACTGTTCTATTATTTATTCCTTTATTGTAACTGTGTTGTTTTGTCTTGTCCCCGCCCCCCCCACACAGCTCCAGTGGACTCTTCCTGAAGTTCTCCTGAAGCCGCCGGACTGAACCACGTCTGCCCTGCGGGGGGGAGGAGCTGAAAAACACCTTGACACACGTTTACCTCGACACACTGAGCAGTGTTTTTATTTATTACTTGTTGTGGACAGACTGCGACGCCTGAGCAGCTGTGAGGCGTCCGCAGGAGGTTTTATTTACCTTTATTTACCTAACGTTAGCATTAACTCTGATCTGAGCTCAGCTCCTCCTCCTGTGATCAAACTGTCACCTGGTCAGAGTCCAGCCTCACCTGGACGCACCTGTCTCACCTTTCACCTGCCGCACAGACGCAGTTAGTTAAAGATACACAAAGTCTGATGGGTTCATTTCTGTTCGAGGTCAAACTGACGCATTAAAGCTTTTTGTAAAACTTTGTACAGACAGATTTTATTGTGACGCTTTTATTTCCTCTCATTGTGTTTGGTGGGTTTTGGCTGTTACTGGAGCGTGTCGCTGTGTTTACGGAGCGACAGACGGAGGAAAAGTGTTTTACGTTTGGTTTTATGGTGTTCAGACGGGATTAAAGTGTTTCTGTGATATCTGCTGTGTTCATTATTAAACGGAGAAATTCACAATCACGTCTGTTTGTTTCTCTTCTGTGGATGAAAACTGAAGAAGAAAATATCTGAGTGTCAAGAACCGAGTTTTACTGTCATCAACTCTTATTATGGATCATTTTTTTTAAATATTGAAAATGATTTTTTTATTGGAACATTTAAAATCATCACTACAGTAATTTAACTTATTATTTTTATTCTTAAAATAATTTTTGAAATTAAATTTGACTCCTGGTAAAAAAAAAAAAAAAAAATATTTAGTTCTTGGTAATTTTTTTAATTTAGTTTTTTTTAAAAATTGGAATGCAATAAAGTTTTTTATTTTCTCAGTTATTCATTAAGATGTGAGTACTGTTCAATACAAAATAGTTCAGTCATAAAAATGATTATTAAAAGTATATATATATATATTTTGGTTTTTTTTAAATATATTTCTTGTAATTTAAAATTATATATTTTATATATATATATATATATTAAATGAACATTTATTATTAAATGATGTATTTTACTTACTATAAACGTGGTGTTAAGTTTTTAATTTTTTACATTTATGTTTTTTTCTACATGTATGTGCTCATGTGAAGCTTCTTCCTGGTTCTGGTGAAATAATGAATGCATAATTAAACATTTCATCACATCAGGATGTAACATGATGATAATAAATGTTTTGTATTTTTATGTGACTTTTTTACTGTTTATTTTTAAACGGAACAGAACCATAAACCGTCTGAGTCCACATATCGGCGGTAACCGGAGCCGCTGACGCTGCGCCGCTGGGAGGAGTCACTCCGTCCGTCCGTCCGTCTGTCGGCGCTGCTTCACGGAAATAAGCGGAAACCTCCGACAGCGACTGACGCAGGACGAACCGGGACCCGATCACCGGCAGAGAACCGAGAACCAGCAGGACGGAACCGAGGTTCGACCAGCAGCAGCAGCTCCGTGTGCGCAGACATGAGGTTCTCCTGATAGAACAGCTGCGGACCTGAAGGAGGACAGGCGCCGACATGGCCCACGTAGGCAACGGAGCGGCGGCGGAGGAGGAGGTGGGTGTCCGGTACCGGTCCACCGGAACCACGTCCCTGTTCTGTTTATGTCAGGGTTCTATCAGAACCAGGTCTATGTTCTGTTTATGTCAAGGTGCTGCCGGAACCAGGTCTATGTTCTGTAGTCGTGGTTCTACTGGACCCAGATCTATGTTCTGTTTATATCACGGTTCTACTGGACCCAGATCTATGTTCTGTTTATATCAGGGTTCTACTGGACCCAGATCTATCTTCTCTCTTTATGATGGTTCTCTCAGAACCAGGTCTATGTTCTGTTCATATCAGGGTTCTATCAGAACCAGGTCTATGTTTTGTGTTCATGGTTCTGTAGTGTTCAGATCTGTGTTCTGTCTGATTCTGAACGTGTCCAAATGTTCCTAAAGACTCAGAACCTGTTTGAAGTGTCCAGAACCAGGAGAACGTTGCTGAACCGACTCGGTAGTTTGACATTGGACCAGTTTAATGCGGATTAGAGAGTTCTAGAAACACAACTGGTTGAGTTCACAGAGGTCCGGACAGAACCGGGTCAGAGCTCAGAGCAGAACGAGACACAGACACAGAAGCGTCGTAAATCCTGGTACGTTCAGGCCCGCTTCCTGCGTTTCCAAAGTTCTGCTTTAAGGCGCTGCTGCTGTTGTCAGAACCGAGCCCGGTGTGGGTCGGTCCGGTCTCAGCCTCCTGCTCTCAGTCCGTTTGCAGCCTCAGATTAATGATTTACTTCCAGCGCTGAGCTGCAGGTCAAAGTGGAACCTTGGTGTTCCTGGTAGAACCGGACGCTCCGCTCCGACTGGTTCTCCTCGTTCCTGCTGGGAGTGGCCCAGTGCAGCCACCACTGGAACGTCTTCAGGAGGTTCTGGTCCAGATGATGCAGGTTCTGTAGGTTCTACCTGAGCAGGTTTACTTGGTTCTGAGTCCCTGAGGTCAAAGCAAAAACATCGAAGTCTGAGATACAGAGACGGATCCGAACAACGGCGCCGACGGGTCAAACCACCCGCAGGCTGAACAACAAGAGCTCAAGAGACACTGAACAAGAACAGCATCAGAACCGACCAGCAGCAGAAGGTTCTGAAGACGCTGAAACGGACTGAAAACGGCCTCGACGGACAGAAAACAGCCACAGATAAACCAAAACAACTACAAAACAAACAATAAATAAACACAAACCAGAACCAGAACCAGAACCAGAACCAGCTGCATGGACAAAAACAACCACATGGTTCTCCTGTCCAGGTCCGGTGGTCCAGAGTGTCACTGAGAGGTTTTAGTCGTTCGTCAGACCTCTTCGGAACTTTTATCAGATGTGATTCAGAGAGGTTCTGGAGGTTCTGGGTTCTGTGAACAAACCGCAGTACAGAAAGTCAGTCAGGAGGTTTTGTGTCTGCATCTGTCCAGGAACGAGATTCTACGGGCTTTTAGTGTGGTTCTGGGGGTGGTTCTGATCTCAGGACGGGATCAGGGGGTTCTGTGGGTTCAGGGGAACACGTCTTTAGGGCTCAGGCTGACGTTCTGCGGGTCAGTGGGCTGGATTTAGAGGATTATGAAGCTGCAGGTGGACTCGGCGTGTCCAGGTGTTCTGCAGGAGGTTCTGTCCGGGGTTCTGCAGGAGGTTCTGCGTCTCCTCGTGGTTCCGACAGACGGCTCTCTGTGGGTTTCACTCGTCTCATCGCTGAGGAATTCCGCTGCGTTCATGAAATCTTTCTCGCTGCTGCTCGGCAACGTCAGCACCAAATAATCCTGAACGCCGTCGGACCGGGACGTCGCTTCTGCTGCTGCGACCTTTGACCCTTCAGAACCTGAAAAACAAAGACCCGATACACGACCGGAATGTAAAGAACACCAGGAATTCATGCAGCAAACAGAACACCTCTGTTCCAGTCAGCGGTTCTCTGGAAACCGCAGAGCTACAGCTGTTTGTTGTTTGTTTGTGTCCGTTACAGCTAGCGGCTTGTTGACGGGTCTCGGGTCTCAGGGTTCCAGAGGACGATCCTCAGGTTCTACAGAAGCTTTATAGTTGACGTAGTTTCAGCTGAACTGCAGAAAAGTGAGCAAGGACGTCACAGGAGTGAGTTAACGGAGGTTTCTGGGTTTTCTGAGCAGATCCCGTGTTCCAGGACGTTCTGAGGAGTTTTGGGCGCCTTTGGGCAGGTTTTGGGTTTTTCATAAAGAATCTTCCTTCATCACGTTAAATCAACAAACGAGGAGTCGCTTGCTTCGGTTCTGTTAGACTGAGACGACTTCCGCTGAAGAATTCGCAGAATTTTGCACGCGAACAGAACCGGACACAACGAATGTGCTGCTCGTAACTGGTTCTGACCGACGCCGGCCGTCCTCAGCTGACTGCACTTAGACAGCTGCTCAGTGGCATCAGTGTCGTCTCAGAGTGGCCGTTTGTGTTTCCTCCGTCACGTCGTCAGGAGGTGAGCGTTAGCACAATGTGATTATCCAGGCAACAAGGACGCCGCTGTTCTGGCTGGAACTTCCTGTTTGTTCTGCGGGTCAAAGGTGGGCGAAGGCCACGAGTGTCGAGTAAAGAGACACACAGAGTCGTCGTTGTGAGGGAGAGTCTGGACGACGGGGGTCTGTTGGGTCATTAGTGGGCTCTAGAGAACGTTCTGAGGGGTTAGGAGGTTCTGGTGATCTTTGAAAGGGTGTCGAGAACAGTTTTCTCTCTGGAGGTTCAAATGATCCTGGTATTGTTCTGGCGAGTCCATCCTGTGGGGTCCAGTTGTGCGACAGTGTTGGAGAATGCTTTGACGAAGTTCCACAAGTCATTTAAGGGGTTCTGGGGGTTCTCCTGGTAGACTGATGAGGCGTACAGTCGGTTCTAAGACACTTGAAGAGCTTCAGGGGTTCTAGTACACATTACGGGTCTCTGCACAATGTCTAAGAATGCTCTGAGATGGTTCCATCTGGTTCTGTGGAACCCTCTGAGATTGGACGGGTCTGAGGGTACTACAGTTCTTGATGTTTTTACTGAAAAGGTTCCAGAAGGTATAAAGAAGGCGCCAGGACAGGTGATGGGTCTCTAAGGAGTCTCCGAGAATTCTTTGAGATGTTTCCCTGGTGGTTTTGTGGAACCTTCTGGAGAGTGGATGGGTTGTAAGGTTCTTGAGTGTATTCTCGTGCCCACTGAAGGGGTTCTAGGGGTTCGTAAAAGGGATACGAGTCCAAGTGACGGGTCTCTAAAGAGTCTCTGAGAACACTGTGAGGTTCGTAGTTGAGGTTTGGTAGTTTTACGGAGTCTCTCAGTGGATCTTGAAGGTCTTTCCTGGCTCACTGAAAAGATTCTGCAGGTCCTTGAGGGGGTGCTTGAGAATGCTTTGGAGGTTCTTGAGATTCCTTTGGGGTCAGGAAGTGTCACAGGTTGGGTTCCAAGGCTCTTCGGGGTTTACTAAATGGTTCCAACGATCCTTGAGGAGGTTCCAGTGTTCTACCGGGTTGTATAACGGGTCTATAGGGGTTTCTCTAGAACCTTTTGGAGGTTTTATGGGTGGGAGTGGGTTACAAGGATCTTTAAGGAGTTCTGCGGCGTCCCTTCAGGCGGTTCTGATGTTTGTTGGGTCTTAAAGCGTCATGAGAATGTGAGACATGGTTGAAGCTCAGTGACTCAACTGAAAGGAGATCTGTTGTTACTGAGGCTGGAAACGACAACAAAGACACAAAACGACCACAAAGCAACAGAGACTGAGCCCACAGTGGCCTGAGGTTCTCTGGAGGTTCTCTGGAGGTTCTCTGGAGGTTCTCTGGAGGTTCTCTGGTGTCTGTGTGCTCGGTAACAGGACTCTGCTGGAGTCTTGACTAATTGATTAGGGCGCTGCAGACACCAGAGAGCGACTGGGCTGTAACATCAGACAGCAGCTGCTTCCTGTTTCGTCTGCTGCCGACCGAACCACAGAACCCTGCTGTGGACTCTCCAGGAACATCCTCAGTGGAGGCCGACACACAGGAGGAGGCACAACAGGACCATTAAAACCACCACCGACAGTAACACCAGCAGCCTTCTGCTTTCCTGTCGCCAGTTTGAATGCATAAGCTGTGAACAGCAGGCTGGTGGTTTGTTGGTCTGCTGTTGCTCCTTCCTGCTTCCTGTTGCGTCGCTGTGCTGCTGAAGCTTCGTTCTTCTGTTCGTCTTGTCTCTGCTCGTGGTTTTGTGTCTCTTTGTGGTCGTTTTTTCTTTGTTTGTGGCTGTTTTGTGCCGTTTTATTGCCCGTTTGTGTCTCTATGTGCTCCTTCAGGACACGTTTTGCAGCTCCGTGCCTGTCAGACTGGACTCGGGGCAAAGCGCAGCGAAACGTCTGATGTGTGTGATTCACGGATGAGCGCGTCGCTGTGTGCAGCATCGTGTTGTTGTTGTTGTTGTTGTTGTTGTTTGTGGGTCGCAGCCCAGAGGGTCGATGTGCAGCTCCAGTCTGCAGCTCTTATGTAACGCCTATTATTAGCCGCACTCGGTCGTCATCGTGTTTCAGAGACTCGTTCAGTCCGAGGTCGAGTCTGAAGGGAACCACGGCGCCTCTGAAAACAAACCACCACCAGAATCACACCGTTTGTCAGAACCACAGGCGGAAAAAATAGAAAACAATCACCTAAATGTGCTTTTGCAGCAGAGCTCCATCTGCTCTTCTGTGATGTGCAGCGCCGTCAGGAAAATGAACCGATCAGAGCCGAAAACCTGATATGTCCGGGTTCTCAGAGGATTTTAAGTGTTGGAGTCGTTCTAATGTTCTGGAGAAGCTGGAAACATGGAGGTAGTTTAACATCTGTAGGAGGAGGAGACGAAACGACCACAAAGAGACACGAAACGGCAAACGAGACACCAGAGACGACAAAGAAAAGGTCCAGAGACAGACACAAGACGTCAAGAGACAGGACAACATGAGACAGAGAGCCACGAAAAACAAGACCGAGTGACACAAAACGGCAAAAAACAAGACAAAACACCAAAAACGAGACACAAAATTACAAAAAAAACGCCACAAATCAGACACAAATCAAAGAAAAGAGAGACAGAATGACACAAATCGGCAAACGAGGCTCAAACGAGACAGCAAACAAACAAAAGACAGACACAAAAGGTCAAAAAACAGGGCAAAGTGACACAAATGAGATGCAGATCGACGAAAAACGAGACAAAATGACCCAGAAAACAACCAAAAGGGGGACACAAAATGACACAAATCGACAAAAAACAAGACAAAACGCCACAAATGAGACACAATGACGTCAAACGAGACACAAAAGGACAAAAAACTAGACCAAGTAATACAAACGACAAGAGGGGAATGAAGTAAAATAGATCATAATAAACATCAGACTAATTGTGAGTCATCCTGGGCGGGTCTCAGCATCGGTTGCCATGGCGACGCGACAGGAAGTGAACCGCCGACTCGTTAAAGTCGACTCGTTAACCTGGAACCTGCGTTTGTGTGTTTCAGGACTGTTTTGAAGATGCCTTCGACCGGATACCAGCGTGAGTACACAACCGCAGGACACACACACACACTCACACACACACACACACACAGAC